CAATCGGTCTATGAGCTTTTACATGTCAACACATCAACATCATCGACATATCAAAACTTTCTGAACTTCATCAACTAATCACTATTATAATATATTATATGCATCCAGCGTAGTGTAGAAACCTAACTCTCAAATTTTTACAAAGTAAATCATTTACATTTCATTATTTCACTCTGTAAACATGACAAAAGTAACGCACGTCGTGTTGATATCTAATATACCTATGCAATAGTTGAGCAAAAACATATACAAAAGTAATAGAAAAGAACCACGCAGAAGCAACAGAGAATATAGTCTCGTTTGAAAAACGGAAAAACGATAAGTATACACCGGCACGGTCAGGATTTTAGTTCGGTTAGGGTTTTACCTGAGTAAATAATTTACATTATTTTTTTCTAAACAGTTTTTATATAACAAATTATAGTTAGTCTCATATTTAGTCTACATTTACAATATTTAACCTGGTCGTCTATAGAGCCTCTTCGGCCGTTATTAACGTGGTAATAATCGAAGGACGATAATACACCATCGATTATGGCAGACGTATAGAAATGTTCTAAATCAGCCAAAAAAAAAACCGAAACTATGATTACCTATCGACGTCGTTGTCAATTCTCATATTCAACAATTTATTTTATATCTATTAAAAATGACCAACAATTGATTTGTGTGTACCAAAATGGTGGTAAATAAGATTCTTAAGTAGAAAAAAGACATTTTGGTGGGAGGGTCAGAACCCTGGAACCCTACAACTGCGTACGCCACTGAGTACAGACGAAGTGAGGTTTTGTCCAAAAACGGCACAAATGGCAAAAATATTTCGTGAAAAACAAACGGACGGTAAGGTTCGTTGTGGTTTAATTGCTGAGCATAGAAACTGAAAACCAGAATAGGAAAGAACGGCTTGTGACGTCATAGAGTTATTTTAACTACGGGATTATCACTGGAATACATTTTTTCGTCCGCACACCGCGTTGTAGTATTTATATATCGTATATAATAATATATATAATATGCTATTCCCGTAATACGCGATCCCCACACACTGGAACGGATTATTATTATTTTTACTATTACTATTATAACTATTATTTTTATTATTTTTTTTTTTTTTAACACCGCTCGTATTTTAAATAGACATTACGTCGCAGTATAACATACTTGAAGCCTGGAGGTGTCGCCTGAAGGAGTCGATTTATAACTTTACGGATTTCTTTCTCTCTCTCTCTCAAATCTCTGAATGAATATAAATGTTTATGTATATTGTATAACTCACAGCCAGTATATAATATAGTAGCAGACGTCTTCAACAATTGTAAAAAACTCTAGACAGAAATCTCTCTCAGCAATCACACTGAAATTAAGAAAACATTTACTATAAAATTATGTCTCGTAATGTGAGATTGGGAGATTATAATCTATTTTCTATTCTGATATCTAAACCCAATAAATTAATAACTGTTACTTCCATTAATGGGTGACTATTCATTAGTTCATAACTCTGATAGTGATCGCTGGAAAATATATAAACTATAGGTAAATAATTATAATGCATTTGAAATTAAAAACCTTTAATACTGTGGCACTGTGGATGAGAGGCACATGTGCAAGCTCATTGTGTGGCCAATACATTTTAAAAATTTAATTAAATATCAAAATTCAAATTATATTGTAGTATATTAAGCTCAATTGAGGGTTATAAACCTATAGGATTATAATAGGATACCGGAATCACTTTAATTCTTGGGAAACAAGCAATAACAGCCTAACAGCAGTACCAAATGGCTTCTGAAGTGTCCATTCCAGCACATCATACTAAAATGACACGAATTTTGAAATTTTAACACCGGTACTTAGATACAACAATCAAACTTGAATTTTTTTAACTTAGGGACGCAATGACTCACCTGTGGTTCAAATTTCAAAAACATAACTAGGTAGGTACTCTAAAATATTATATTCCGTCTTCACAATAACAATTTACCACACTTAAGTGCAATCGACACATCAAATATGTATAAATAATAGGTAGGTGTCCTACCTACACGGCTACACCGTGTATATATTTTTGACTGTATTTAAATACCTACAATAAAGACTTTGAAAATAGCAGTAGGTACCCAATTAAATTATATTTTATTGCTAAGAAAAATTTTTTTATTGAAGTACAAAAAGAATTTATAGTAGGTACCTAGAATAAATTTGGCATGAAAATATGGTAGGTATGTTGTGTGGGGCGTGACACTTCATCCTTCCTCCTCCGGACACCACACACGCACCCAAACACAAATGGACTAATGAGCAAATAAAAATATGGTGGTGCAAAGAAAAAATTTTTATCTCACTGGCTAAAAGCGCCGAGCCTCCACTAACCACTTTATTATATAAATTAGGAATTAACGTAACTAGCTACCTAACTTTAAAGTAAGTTACGTCAACATAACCTAGGCACTAGGTATACCTAAATATATTCGTTAGTTATTCATCAACGCGATTGGTAATTATTGTATTTTAGACGTGCAGATCATATTATAATATAAATAATATAAGTAGGTAGGTTTTTTCGTTGTCCGCTGTCCGTCTGTCCGCCTGTCACCAGGCTGTATCTCATGAACCATGAAAGTTAGATGGTTGAAATTTCACAGCTGATATATTTCTGTTACTATAAAAACAAATACTAAAAATCCGTCAGAATATAAAATATAAGAAGCGTTTATAGATAATTGTACGGAACCCTTCGTGTGCGAGTCCAACTCACATTTGGCCGGTTTTATTTTGTTAATTTTCGGCGTGGATTAAATACGCCCGTCTGTTATATCATTGCATAAGTACAATTTTCATGTTTGGAACCAGGACCGGCTCAAGCGAAAATAGTGAACTAGGCGAAATCAAATTTTGCCGCCCCTAATAATATAATATAATCAGTATTTTGAAAATGCCGCCCTCTTACTAAAGTGCTGCTTATGTGCCGCCTTATGTGGGCCTATGTCGCCTACCCCTTGAGCCGGGCCTGTTTGGAACCATACCTAGTATTGTTTTTCTACTTATTTAGTATTCACCTAAAATATTATGCTAACCCGACGAATCCAATATGTACCTAAACATACACGCATGTGAGTATGTGACTGTGAACAGAATGCAGATATCTATATAATATTCGGGAGGTGTAAACTGTAAATAGTATAATATAAATATATATATTTTATTTACTTTTTTTAGGTACTTATCACCTATGTATCATGTGTGGAAATTCTGATTCCAAATATTTGACACCTGCAACGGCACAACGCAATTCACATACGATGTTTATTTGTTATTCATACAGCGTGTGCATTTTCGCATCACATAACGTATACGCAGGTATCTACGTGATGAACCAGTAAGATAAAAACTATAAATTTTATAGTTTTATCTTTCCGGTATAAATCATAGATGAGTGAAATACACGAGCACCTGCACAAAACCAAATAAAGCCGTAAAAACTTGCATTATGGTAATTTAAGGACCGAATCGTCGCAGGTCGCAGGGCATCATAATATTATAATATACGAATATGATACAATGCAATACACCGAGATGTCATGATGAATATATCATATGATTAAATATATGAATGATAGAAAATTTGACTAAAAACAACAACCGCAGAAACACGAAAGAATGCAAATTTTATTCACTAATCAAAAATTTCCAACAGCCAATCACATGTTGCCATCGCAATTACATAATGTTTCTAGTAGATTAAGGTAGGAAAGGTTAGCACAGGGCTGGTAGTATTTTGGGTACCTATATCGCTATACCAGTGTATACCGTGATTCGGAAATTATCGATGTTAGCGAAAATGCCTAATATATTTATAACATACGATTGGTATAGGTACCATCACAATTTATTACAAATATAATTTTTAAAATAGAATTGTAAGTACAATGTTCATGGGTTGAAACACTTCTAAATTCATCGAAAATACCGAATATTGAGGTACGGTATTTTCGGTATTTACTAAGTTATTGTACAACCAGTAATACCGTAGATATCGGCAGTAAACAAATACCAAACAATTTCAAATAACTATTCAACATTTGAAACACTACTAGCACTAGGTTAAGAGGTACCTAAGTTACTAAATAACAATAATATATTTGAACACGTGTGTCTGCAGACATAATCCGTCATTCTAGTGTTCTGAAAATCAATAATTTATTAGTTTTTTTATTAGGTGTCAATATATCATTACACTTATTATTGATTACCTATTGAATGATATTTATTTTTGTCTACTTTGACAAAATAAATTAAAATTAGCATATCGGACTAATTTACTGGACCCAAGATATAAAAATACAACTAGACTTTTTTACATAATATTCAAATATGTATTATTACATTATTCAATTTGCTCTTTATGTAAAAATTATAAACTAAAAACTTAACTTAAACACATTAATATTTTTAACATTAAATTACCCTGAAAACTCAAAAATTACATCTTAAGTTTAAAAGTGAAGACATAAACATTAAATGTTAATATTAATAATAAAGTTTGGTGTATTTTAAATGTTGTAAAAAATTCTTAATATTGTAATCATATTATTAGTACTAATTTTACTTCCATAATAAAAATAGTTGTAAACATATTACTACCATTTACAACTATTATCATGTGCAAACATTTGGAGTTAAATTTTCAAAAAAGTAAAATTATAAACAAGTTTTTTTATTAAAATTGTTTTGAAAATTAAATAAACTGTACCTAAATATTTCTACATTTTTATGCTACAATGAGTATAATAAAAAGAAATAAGACATTCATAATTCAATATAATACTTAATATAATATTATTATATAAGTATCAAATAATTTACCATATGAATCTTTCTTACTAAACATTTGATAACAAATATAAATGTAGAAAATATAAAACTTCTCACTAAAACAGATGTGTATTTTCAAAATATTACCATACAAATTTAATTTACATATTATTATTATCTAGTGCTTATGATGTTTTTCTTTCACATTCTTTGCTATCCAACGTAGACTGAAAAAAAAAATATTGATTAAAACTTGTACATGTAATCATGTAATGAAAAATCAAAATATTATATTAATAATATTATCAGACTAAACATTTTTTCCTAAAGTTACATCCTACTAATGATTTTTTAAAAGGCAAACATATATTATATAAAAATGTTACACGCATAATTTTAACTTTAAAATATACATATTACACATTCACACACAGTACATACTACAAACATGTATTATACTTAAAATGAGGTATTCATATGTTCAATTTAAAATTACAAATCTTAATAAGGCAATAAAGAGGTCAAAATTGAGGTCAAGATACAAAATTGTTTTTATTATCTTTCATTTAAAAAATGTACATAATCATATTTATGAAATCAATTATTATGTACTTTGAACATTTCACCGAGTAATAATTGTATGTATTAACACTACCACCATATATTTTATATATGCATAAAAATTGTACAAAAGTTTCTTACAAACATAAAAAGTAAGTATAGTTTGATATAAACTTTTTTGGATGATTCTGAATCACTTACCCACATCACTTCTTCAACTCATGGAATTCAAAACTTTATTTCGAAGACTCTTTGACAAGAAATTATTAGTCACATTTGGACAAAAATGTCATGCAAATGTAAACCAATAAAAAATAAAATATCATTAAAAGATATAATAAGATTTGGTAACCAAACTACACAATTAATCATTCCTAATAAAATAATATTATAGAATATGCAATTATCACCTAATATTCATTATGATACGTAATCGTACAACTATCATTTAAAATAAATGTTGATGTAACTAAATTACTAAAGTGTTAATTTCAATTTTTCAAATTTAGATATTTGTATTAATCTTAACTATAACAACAAATTTGCCTGGTCCCTTGATAGTTGTTATAACCAATTTCTATTGGATGTATTATCATTGTATAATAATAGTATCTATAATCAATATGGTATTATAAATTTTATAATCATCCTTAAATGTCCATTTTAATGAAATATAACTAGTTTGTACAATTATTTACAATATTTAAAATTGTTTGATCAATATATTTATGAAATATTTTAACTCGAAAATGCTAAAATGGCAATTATGATTTGTCCAAAACATGTAATATATAAATATCAGATACCTATATAAACTGTTAAACTAAGAAATACTTTTAAATTATATCATAGGTAGTCAATAAACACATGACTTGTTAAATTAATAATAATTGTATCCAATTAAATATTTGAGTTACAGGGTACAATGCATTAATTAGTTGGTATAAAAAATATGCAGTCGTACCTAAAAGTAGCTAAAAAAAATGTCATTACCTTTTAATTATACAATTTTGGATAGCCTACATCATATAATATGAATATTGAAGAGTAAAGTAAATTAATAGTAAATTAAACTAATAACGTTTGATCATACATAAGTACAAATATTAATTTCATAAAGATGAAAAAATATGTTTTATTTCTTTTCAGCATTTATCATATATATCATATATATTGTTATAACTGTATTATTAGTAAGTAATACAAATTTAATAAATAATTTGTAGTATTATACCTGTACTATTAGTGAATCTGCTAAAATGTGTAAATCTTGTTCAGCTTTCATAAGCTAAAAAACATAAAAATAATATCAATCAACAATGTTATTAATACTAACAGTCTAAATAAATGTATATTAACCTTATAGATGTATTCTATTTTTGATCCTAAATTATCAGAATGAATTAAATTTTGTTTATCTATTAGTTCAAGAAACTCTTGTGTAGAAATTTTGATTGCGCCCTCATTATTTAATGGAGTTATGTTTTTGTTATTTGAAATCTTAATACATTGATCAACTTCTTTTTTAATTGATATCAAGTCCATAAATTCTGAGCTTGTATCTGGTGGTTGTTCCTAGGAATAGTAGAATATATTTAATATGTATTGACAAATTTGTATTATTTACAGTGGTGTATTGGTACATGTACATCGTATGCATCAGCAGATTTTTGATTTCTGGTGTATACCTAAATATGTAAAATATCATTGTACGGTTATAGCTCCTAAAATAACTTGAAAACCAAATAAAATTTATTTAATAATTCATAGGAAAAATTTTTATGATGTTTCAAATTTCAATGAATTATTCAAGTGTTGTGTTGTGTAAAACATGAACTATGTATGCAAATAATGTTATTTTCACTTTAACCATTTATTAAATACTATAAACTTTTTTAATATAAGTTTTATAAGATAAAAATTTTCCAATGATCTACCTACTACAATTAAAGATCCTTCCTTTAATAAGAAATAATTATAATGTTTTTGATTAAGAATTATTATAACCTAAAAAAATCTAAAAACTTGACATTTTGATATGGACATGACAGTTACAGCATTCGCCTAACCCACTGATATGATGTTTACAAATTATTTTCCATATTATACTAAAACAATGTTGATTTCTTGCGTGTAGCTACAAAACTGAAAACATAAAACAAATGAAAAAAAGGGTTGTGGTTTTATTTATGTTATTATATTTTTAAAATATAAATTATACGTAGTACCTATGTACAATTTTATTACACTCCAATCCAATAAATTGTATGAAAATGGAACGTTATTTACATTAATCAAATTTTATAGTAATATTAGAAGTTCTAAACATATAAGGGATTAACCTAATTTTGTTGAGCAGTGTAAGAACAAATTTCTAAGATTTAATATAAATATTTTATTAATGCGTATACCCATAAATATATTTACGTATACAGCAATACACCACTGATTATTTATTAGTTATTAATTAATTAGCGATACACAACATAAAATATATATATTGATTATTTACATATTTATGTTTTAGTCTTACAACTTACCTCACAATCTGAGGATCTTTTAAAATCATTATTTTCATTAGGTAATATTGGTTTATTTATGATCTTGATTAACTGGTCTGAAATGTCATCAATACTTTCACTGTTTTCGTTTAATTCCGTTTCAACTTTTAACTTTGATATAAGTTCTGGAGGAAGATAATTTTTCTTTTCAGCAGACTAAAAAACATAAGAAGTAAAAAGGACGATTAAGATTTATCAAGCTCAAAAAAAGGATAGTTTATAGTGAAATACAATGAAATATATACCTACATAAAGCATTATCGTTTAGTATTTATAATTTATATAAATAAATAATGTACCTTAACATTACATTTTGAATTAAATATATATTATTTCCTTTTAGTATTTTGGATGGTCAAGCATTATTTACTTCACAACCCACAAACTATTAGAATATAATATATTATAAAATCAATGGAATAATAAAGTAAATTACTTATATTTTACCACTTAATACATTTTACATAATAGTCTACTCTATACTTCAAGCAAATAACAATAATAATGACAGATTTATATAAACTCTTACTCGAAAATAATTACTCTTTTCATAAAAGTCATTCATTAGTTCATCATAACTGGGATATTGAATCGCAATTGTTGTAGTTGGTATCAAAGATTTAATAATTTTTTTCCATGTAGCTGTATGTACCTTTGTTGACATATTACCCTAAAAATATAAAAGTATTGTTTAGTAAAAAATTGATATTAAAAAATTAACTAATTGATTAGTACTCCAAATAAAAATGTCCCAAATTTCTAAAAACTTATTTTTTTTATTAAAAATGACAATAACCTAAAAAATGATTTATTTAGTAAGTTACTTTGTTTACTTTTAAAAAATTTTGTGCAGCTATTTTATCCAACAAACCAAATGACACAAGTATATATTCTAAATCTAAAACAAATTATATATTATATTAGTAACAAAGCATATATTCTACAACTCATACATTATTCAATTAATATATAATTGTTAATTACCATATGTATTTGAGTATTCAGACTCAGGATCAGCATCCAACAACAATTTATACACCAAAACCTTTATAAATTCATCCCTGCTTGGCCCATTCTGGAATATCAGTAATTGGAGATTTTCATCATCAATATCAACTAAATGCATTAAATCGACCTTGGTGAAACGGTCACGTACTAATTCCAAAAAAGCCTTCATAATGTAAAATTATGTTGTAGGTACAAGTGATAAACTGTAAAATAGTAATAATTACATTCAAATATACCCATAATTAATTAATTCAACACTTTCCTACGTAATGACAAGCGATGAAACCAACACAAACAACACGTCCTGTCTTTGTATTCCGTCAGATTAAAATAGCTCATATCAATTTGGAAGAACGGACAAAGATTTAACTCGAATATTGGCTATGATGTTGGTTGATTTTTTTAGATAAAAATGTTTAACAAAAGTATTATTGAATTTAAAGTTTAGACCTTTATGACTATTACTTACGTTTTACTTGTTCAGTAGATCATTAACAAATACAGAGCAAAAGGTCCCATACCAAAATGATGTTAATACGTTTAAGACTTACTTGGTTTAATTAGCTTAAAAGTTTAAACAATAAAACTAATCTTGGTTAAATTTATAATTTTGTTGATTTCCGAAAAAAACGGTCATCACTCATCAAGTTATCAATGTGAAAATATTATCAGTTATACAAATTATTACAAGATAATACATTTACACCAGTGTCATGGAATACAAATATCGTATTCATTCGACTTGGAATAAATAACAAATCACATTATCACTGACCGCTGAATTTGTTGTGAAAAATTGTTTCAAAATTTGAACTATAATGCATATTATAAAAAATAATTGCGCCTACGTATCTTTGAACTTCCATTAATGAAATTTATAAGGAACCTAGTATTAATCGTTTGATAGTAAAAACACCTATTGAAAATATATTGTAGAAGATGGGTTAATCTGTGCTTGTATAAAAGTCAATTTTCGATATTTTAATTACGAAACTCAATAATTCAAATTCAAAAAGAAAAATATCACTAGGTTTAGAGCTAAATATTGGACATTGAAAATAAAATATCGAAAATCGACTCGTATACAAGCCTAGATAAATGTCTTCTCTTTAATGTGTATAATAAATGTTCAATGTTCATACTAAAATGTTACTGACTAAGCTATATTATTAGAAATACGAAACTAAGTTTCAGTGTTTCACTAAAATTAACATTTGTAATTAGTGTGTAGAACTGTAAAGTGCTGCGTTTTTTTTTCTTTTAATGGCCACTAACTAGTAACTACTCAAGCATTTACACGTATGAAAACACATACAAAATTGCCTACATTGAACTCCTTTAAAACAGTAGGTATTTGATTTCAATTAGATTCTACAACCTTTTATTCTGTACGAACATAAAATTATTTGTTCACTGATTAAGGGGCCTCGCTACTGCCATGAGTTTTAAATCAAAAGACCTTAAGTTTTGACAAAATTTTTAGTTAGTTTACGTTGTCCTATTTTAATTCTGAAAAAAAATTGAACTCGGCTGAAAACGATCTATATAGATTGTACGAAACACTTTGTAAAAATTAAATAGTATATTATTGTGAATAAATTGTAATTGAAAACTTGAAAATATGAGTTTTTTCAAATCATAATTCAAATTCAAATTCATATTAAAAACGAAAAGTGTTTTGATCTACTGACATTTTTCTGCTAAATTCAAATGTTTTTTTCAGAATCAATATCAGACTTCGTTAACTAACTTTAATTTCGTCAAAACAATAAGTAAGTAAAATCGTATATTGAATTTTATATTGTTTTCGAGTTATCGACATGTGCATGCTCGTACGAGAATGGTATCAGGATTGCATTTAACTCACATTAATAATCTAATTATCACTAATTATCCTGAACGGACAAGACGAGGTTAAAAATTGCCAAAATCTTGTGCCTTAAATAATAGGCGTAGCTAGGCCCCATAAATAATTAAAAAGTATAATCATTAATCATACACTTATATTTAAATAAATATAAACAGTTGTCCACCGAAAAATTATTATTTCAAAAAATAAATATAGTATAGTATATAATATATACTCCAATCACCAGTATTTAAATATTCAAAATAATTATTGTCGAGTCTGCATTGATATTTTGTTACATATTGTGCAAGATTTTAGGCATTTTACTACGTGAGGTATATAATAATTTATTAATAGAAAACGAGTGATGAATATTTTGGTCTCTTCCCATCCTTTTTTACTATCATAACAACCATAACATATTGTACAGTGTGTACATACAATTATTGTTCTGTGATACAATTCGGTTACAATGGCGCAACTAGGAGGGCTAAGGATTAAGGAGTAAGTGGGCCTAGCTCCCTCCCACCACTATGATTTAGCCCCCTAAAAATATCCTTTTTTGATTTTGATATAAGTCCATTATTGGTTATTTTAAATTAATATTTTTGATAAGTGGGTTGTAGCCTGTAGCCCAGAAATTTAAACCTAGTTGCGCGTTACATAGCACGTAGGTACGTACCTACCTATAGTTTTTCACAAAATGCATATGCATTATACATAATTACATAATAATATAATTTAGTCTTATAAGGGTATCACTACGTATCAGCATTATTATACATACAATAAATTAACAACAAAATTATTACTCGGTGTACCTTTTGTAGGTACTACTTGTAACTATTGTAAATTACTAAAAACTAATAATTACCAATTCAATATGCAATTCAATAAGGACCAATAATGACCAATAATGACCCACCTCTGGATCCGCCACTTGTTTACGCAATTCCAATGTAACCATGTAGGTATTATACCAGGATTACGAAATTAATTCAGCCTAAGATATGGTTATAACCATAACGTTCTGCAGTACACTTGACTGACCGCAAATACAAATATATTATTATTATATTGTACATAGGTTTCAGACCTATAATATAATATGACTTATAATATATATTGGGCCATATCGAACATTGCGATTCTGTGACCAAACGGAGCTGGCCGAACACGACTTGCTGCAAGTGTGTGTTTCTGTACTCTCTACAATAATAATGGGTACCTAGCTTTATAATATTGTATTATGTATAATATATAGTGGCACACATAGACATAGGAATAATATAACACAGGACTACGCACTCGAGCGTACACGAGATAGGGTACCTAGTACCTATACCTACATATAATATATACTATATGTCTATATATATATATATACATTGTGAACTATAATGTTATACAATTATAGGTGGGTACATATAATATTACAAGTGTAGCGGAAAACACACCACTGATGTAGACCAAGGTTTCCAGGTCAAGTGTTTCGTGCAGCCAGTGCCGGACACTCTGGTAGTCTGGTAGGTACACGTCAATTATAGAAAATAATTGATAATGTATATTTACGGTTACACGCTGTGTATTGCGTGGGCTATAATAATAATCGTTACGCGAAAAACACAAAAAACGCCTATAAATCGGAACAATTTTCGGTATACTTCAAATTCGTTCCTTTCGATGTGGAAACGCAGTGCACACACACAAATCAAGAATGTTCTTTTTTCACGTATTCGTATAATATTCTTGATTGAGTGCACAAAAAATATTAAATATGTTTAAAATTGACATAAGCGGTTTTGTACGTGTTTATATTTTGCTTAAGGCGATTCCTCGATTCTTTTTATTTTTATTTTAAGTACAAGTAAATGTTTTAGAAAATTTAATTTTTATAATATATAATTTATTTGAAACGGAATTCGTATGTACACCCGAAACAAAAACTGATCACAATTTATCTGCCTGAAAAAAATGGATTTAGTAAGTTCCCACAGCAAAATATTAAACAAACGAGTTGCATGTGTATGCTTCTACAAGCAAAAAAAATCTCTCATACGAGTGAGTTTCCTATGCTATAAGATCTACATTTTAAAAAACTATGTCCGATATATGGGACGATATTACCTTTGGGCCTAATACATCATATCCAGATGACAAAACAACCTTTTGATAAATAATGATAATATTCAAAGAATTAATTTTATTATTCAAACATAAATACATATTTCTCCTCTGTCTACTCTAAACCACGTACGAACCAAATACTCCTTTATTGTTTGATTATTGTTTAAACGGACAACCACTTGAATCATGTGGAAAACCACATCACTAGAATTTGGTCCACATATTGACTTTGTTGCTGGTTAGTACACTTTTCAAATTTTGATAACCTAACAATCCTTTCTATACTCTAAAACTCCCATATAAGATCACTCTTGGAGTACGGAGCTATTGTTTGGTATCCTTACACAATTAGTAACATCTCTCAGCTGAAACTTTATACAGTGCAATATATAACAATATGTAAAAATATAGCAATATTATAACCAAAACTACAGAAAACATCTTCAATGCGCATCCTTCTCATGATTACATTATCATTAATGATTTATTTAAATTCAAGTCACTTTTTGAACGTCACATTACTTCTAGCTGTCATTTTATTCAAGCATTGATTGATTTTTCAAATAATGCACCCTTAATAAGAATGATATTCATATTTAATAAGTACCAATAATTTCGTACCTAAACACACTTATTTTTTATTATATATATTTTTAACACATCATTTGTACTCTTATTATATTTTTACGTATATTTATTGTATCTTTAATATTTTTTCATGTTAAAACACTTTTGTCAATACTGTTATAAAAGCTGATTGGGGTTAATTAATATAAAATAAAAAATACGAGGAACAATATTGTTTAGTAATTGTTGACTATAATATTAAAGTATACCAAAATAAAATATAATTATAACGTACATTTTGAATTTGGAAACTTATATTATAATACTATAAAATTAATTTTAACTCATCCAACATCAAATTGCTTCAATTTAAAATAGTTAAAATTTGATTAAGATTGAGAACCACAATGGTAAAAAAATACACTAATATCTGTTAATATAGATATATCAAAGGTAAAATTACCTATAATATTTATCAATGCCAAATGCATCTATTAGATAATCCAAATTTCAAATTATTGATATTATGTTTTTATGTTTTCGCAAATTCTACAATATTGACTATTATTAAATAATGTCCTATAGTTTGGCTTTAGTTAAATACACTTTAATGATTTTATGAACTT